CCCCCCCCGATCCCGTGCTCTCTCTCAAAATCAGTAAGCTTTTTAAAAAGTCATCAAAGTGAGCGTGGCCGAGGGGAAGAACGCGTCTTTCTGGAATGTGTCAGATTTCCCACGTGTCCTCCTGTCGTGTCACCTCGCCACGGCGCGGCCTGCACCTCACTGGCGGTTCTGCTGCTGGACACCGCCGCAGGGGAGCCCTCCCCGTGGGGACCGCAGCGCGCTGCAGGAGGCTTCCCGAAGACCCCGGAAATTGTTCCCTCTGCTACAGAGCCTGTTCCAGCCCCTGGGATTTTAAGTGCTGTTTGGTCCTCATGGCTGGGTTTCTTGAGGCGAGACCCTCCCACGGTGCTTCCCAGTCCCCGAAGGACCGAGAGTCCAGGAGCTGGCCTCCCGCCCGGAGCCCCCCTTCTCTGAGGACGCCGATACATCATCCAGGCCCTTGGCCCGGCCACAGATGTGACCAGGGATCACTCTCTGCCCGCTTTCCTGCATCCTAACCACCACACGATGTGAAGGGTTCTTGCAGGTTCTTCAAGGAAATTAAAATATTCTGACTTTGGCATTCACCTACAGTGCTAATCTACAAAACTCTTAACGTGTGGTTTTCCCATGACTTAGTGAATTCAAAAAGTTTCTAATTTTCTCATAAAGTATTCATTCACATCAGTTATTGAATAATGTTTTCTAGAATTTTCCACAGGTCTTTGATCTGTGGCTTCTGAAATCCATCTTTAGTCCCATCTCTGCTTCCTTTTCTGTTCTAACTCCACAAAATTAATAACTGACTTTGCAACACGATTTGTAGGGGAACTTCAGCAAGAACCGTCTCCGCAACTGCAGCAGGCCCTGGCCTCCCTCTCCTGACAGTGTCACTCTCCACCAACCTGTGGCCAAGTCCCCAACCTGGATGGCCAAGCCAGCACCATCTACAGGGCCTAGAAGTGTTCTGTTCTGCCTTCTGTTCGTTCCAGGTGTGCAAAATGAACCATCCAAAGGAAGGAGCACTTCCTGAATGCTCACAAGGAGTGAGACTCTACCCTAGTGTGTCAGTGTTCTTTTGAGTAACCCTCACACCAGCGCCTCAGGGCAAGCCACCAGGGTCTGCGTTTTACTGATGAGAAAACCATGGCTGGCCTAAGGTCAAACAGGCAAGGAGATTTTAGGCCAGGCCTAGCTCTGCTTTCCTAGCTCTGCATCATCTGTCAGGGCAAGGCTGACTCTTTTTTTTTTTTTTTTAACATTTATTTATTTTTGAGACAGAAAGAGAGTACAAACGGGGGAGGGGCAGAGAGAGAGGGAGACACAGAATCTGAAACAGGCTCCAGGCTCTGAGCTGTCAGTACAGACCCCCACGCGGGGCTCGAACTCACAGACAGAGAGATCATGACCTGAGCTGAAGTCGGCCGCTTAACCGACTGAGCCACCCAGGTGCCCCAAGGCTGACTCTTAAAAGAGAGATTAATGACTAGAAAATGAAGGTTTAGGGAAAATTCTCCCCCTCCTCCCACCAACATATACCCAAATGTACAGATCTAGAAGGCTTCAGCAGAGACTGGCCTGGTGCATCCCTCCCTTCACCATGGCCCTTATTTCTAATGAACGTCTCTGGCTCTGAGAGGCTGGATAGAGCACGGCAGGTGGGTCACAGCCCATGCTGTACTGGGAGGGCAGGACCAAGCCTCTGAGTCCTCCAGCTGCCATTGATGGGAGTGTTGCCTGGAGTCCTGTTGCCTCCTTACGAAAATGCTGCGCAGCCACAGGGGAGACCTTCTGCCAACAGAAAAGAGGCAGATCATCCCCTGCCTAGTCCTGCTGACTCAATCACTTAAAGTATTGATGTACTTGCCCTATCCCCTCGCCGATCTTGGGATTCAATTCCCTCCTAACCAGGTCTGTTCTAAGCTTTCCATGTAGGTGGTGCTCCTGGATGGGAAAGTAGAGAAGTAAACTGAAAGACAGCACTGCTCTCTTCCTCCCATTAACATTAGCACATCACGTGTCTAATGTTGGGCCAGTCTTTCCTTTGGTGTAATATCTCTGAGCTAATTGAAAAATGCCTCTATTACTATCCTTAGAGTTTTTCTAAATGTTGGCTCTTTCTGGGTGCTAGGATTCCTCACACTTCACAGTCTACCCTCTTGTTATCTTATGTCTTTGGCATATACTAAGCCCTCAATAGACAGTGAACAAATGGATGACCAAATAAGTTTCGTGCCCATTTGTTTTTGCGCGTGAATGTGCACACACACACATATTTTGTATTTATCCACCCTTACAGCTTTCCCTCTGAAGCCACTTTGATTCATTATTTATGCCTCATTTCACATCAGTAATGGCTTACACTGTGACATTTACATGGAGACCTGTGTCACTTTCCGTTGTACAGACTCTGGTGCAGAATTCTAGGGGGCAGCTGACTGCCCAGCCCTCTACATCCTATCCAATCAATATTCTTTACAGAATTAGTATTGCTAGAGAATGACCTACCACTTTTTATTTAACTCAGGTTTCTGAGCAGTGGTCAATTTATCAAATATACGCTGTTTAATGTAAGATAATAATAAATGTCTATATTGGTGTTGGCCAATTGAACTTTCTGCAATGATGGGATTGTTTTGTTGTCTAGTGTGGAAGTCACTTGCTACATATAGCTACTAGTTGAAATGAATCAAGGTGACTTGGGAATTTAATTTTAAATTTTATATAAATCTAGCAAACAATAGCTATGTGGCTATGGCTAATGCTATGGACAGTATTTAAGTCTGAGTATTGTACTGTATCTTAATTTTGTTGCTTCTTTTTATCCAGATTAGAAATGATTCACATCTCTCTGGGCAGTACTCTAGTTTTTTACTTTGATGCATTTTTTTTAATATCTTTGGTCTGTCAATTCCTTCAACGTGTGGATTCTCCTAGAAACCTTAAATACACAATGTATAAAACATTTCCAGTATGAAATATTCTGTCCCATAGAAATGTGCATTTCCAGACCAGCCACTCCCCAGCGGTTTTCTTGGTCTCACAATGTTGAGAAGTAGCAGACAGACATAAAGAGGCTGCCACCCTCAGTTACTTCTTTGGAACCAATCAGCACTTTTGTTGTCTTATCATGCTTCACATACATGCCTTTGCTACCTTTTCATTGTCTTAACACTTAAATGATGCTGAGGTGCCTATATTTATACTCCCACTTCTGCAAAATGCTTTGGCTATACCTTGTTCCATCTGCTGGTTGGGATGGAGGTCTGAAGTTGTCAGTAGTCTTTGCACCTGTTGTTTTCTCCTGAAAATCACCCCCTTCATGTTTGTTGAACCACATGATCCTGTGCAGGTGGTTTTCAAAGTGTGGTCCCTGGACATATTAAAAATGCAAACTCTCAGGCCCAACCCCAGGACCTATGGAACCAGAAGTCCTGTGGTGGGGTAAGGAATTATTCAACAATCCTTCCAGGTGACTCTGATTCACAGGCAAGTTCCAGAACCACATTAGGGATTGCAAAAAGGGCGTCTTTAAATTCTATCAGTCCTTACTCATTTATCTGAAGGAATTCCTCTGTAAAATACATTCCTAATTAACTAGGTTACCCTGAATGGCAATGTGTGGATAAAAGGCAGGATAATCATGATTTTCCTTTAATTGCCCATTTTCAGTGTTAGTAGTTAGTGCCTAACTTGCTTAATTGTGTGTTTCTGTTTGTTCCGTTTTGGCTGAGTTTTTACACTGTCATTATAAATCAACAGCATGTTTTTAATATAGTCACTCAGTCTCAATCAATGCAGCCACCATTGTTTGCTGGCTCCAGTGCCTCTTCTGGCCCCAGTGCTCCCTGACGGTTTCCAGCTCAGACACCTTTTTAGGCTCATCTTAAACATTTCCTCCCCCAGCCCAGGAATCAGCAACTCTTACTTGCTATCATACTTTCTTGGCACAGCTGTGGGAAACAGCAACTCTCCTCCATCACAGCCCCTATAGAAGAGAATTTGGGAACGTCTAACAAAACAATATGTGCATTTACCCTTGGACCCAGCAATTCTACTTCTAGGACTCCACCTCAAAGAAACTGGCGAAGAAAATGACTTCAAGCACACAGTTACTCATTGTGGCATCTGTAATACTGGAAATAACACAAATGCCCATCACTGGAGGGTAAGGTACACTCATGCAGCCAAAGGAAGGAACAAAGACTCACTGATAAGGAGTGACCTCCGGATATGCAGACAAGGAATGCACAATGGTCTATACATCATAATGCAAATACAGATTTTCTTTCTTCTTCTCTTTAAACATTTAGCTAAGAAGATAACTAAAGTGGTTGCTATGAGGGAGAGAAGGGAGAGAATGCAGGAACAATTAAGGAGGTTAGCTCCAAATATAAGGGACTCTGAAAGAACATAAATGTTTTACATATTTGCAAACTAAGTTTGTAAAGACCATCCTTAAAATTGAAAAGCAGACAGTAATATCAATGACCCTACCTGCTCTGGACTGGAGTCTACAGAAGCCAGCCCTGAGACAATTACTAGGAAGGAGACCCCAAGTAGCAGCTGAAAGCAAGTGGGGAAAGAAGAAATCCATCTGTTTCCTTTAGTATCTGGTTATTTAAATACTTTAGGACACATGTTCACATATTAAACCATTTGCTTACTAAGAACAAGGAGAATATGTTTATTTCTTTCATGTGCTGTCAGCATCGAAATTCATTTTTACTTAATTATATACTACAACAAAATTTCTGGATTTCGATATTTCAGGTCAACAAACAGGCCTCAAGTCAAACAGTATAAGCTCATAAATGGACTTGGAATAGAAATAGGTTTGTAATTTATGTTTATTTAAGCATCATGCCCAGTTTTATTAGTTCACAAGAATGAAGCCTCACACTTCCTGGCTGTTGATTACTGGCAAGCTTCTGGCCACCAGGTAGATGATACCTATTCGAATGGTGACCCTTGTTCCCTTGAGGACAGGGTATCAATAGGACAGTTATGATATAAAAGCACACATGAGCTATTATTATACATGGGTACAAAGTCGGTCACCTCTGGCCCAATCAGTAGGAGCGAATGGCTGGAGGGACTGTGGCACAGTCTGCCTCATTCAAAGTTCTGTCAATGACGGGTCTGTACTCCAAGGAGACCTTAAAAAGAAAAATTGATAGACAAAATTTGTAGAAAACCACACAAACAGCATTCTCTTAGGCTCTTTTGAAAAATTAACTATAAAACTTATTTGTAGGGGCACCTGGGCGGCTTAGTCGGTTAAGCACCCAACTCTTGATTTCGGCTCAGGTCATGATCTCACGGTTCAGTTCGTGAGTTCGAACCCTGAATGGGGCTCTGTACTGACAGTGCACAGAGCCTGCTTGGGAGTCTCCTTCTCTATCCCTCCCCTGTTCTCTTTCTCTCAAACTAAATTAAAAAAAAAAAAAAAAAAAATTGGCAAATTTCAGGAACTTAAAACCACAAATATGTACTAGAGTATTTTTCACTAA